GGTTCAGGGTCTAGGGTTTAAGGTTCAGGGTTTAGGGTTCAGGGTTTAGGGTTCCGGTTTAGGGTTCAGGGTTTAGGGTTTAGGGTTGAGTCGACAGATCATGTCGCTAGATGCCATTACAGGTTTGCGCTTTGGGGGTTAGGGCTCAGGGTCAGGGTTTTGGGTTGAGTGCGGAATAAGTTTTGCAAGAAGATTAAAAGACATCGAGGGCAATCAAGTACCTGTAGCCACAGCGACATATAGAAAATCATCCCACAGTTCGAAGAAACCGCAGACAACACTACCCATAAGCCCCCATGAACCTTGCAGTAGAAAGTGTCCGAGTCCCTCAAGCTTGGCGGTTCGAGTGCAGGGGTTCAGGTGCGAATGCAGCCAGGCAAAATCCAGAACCCGATCACCTGTGGATGACTTGCATATTGACACACACGACGGCTTGGGGTTGCAAAAAGCATCCGAAACGGGACAGAGGGTTTGAGGTTTGGAAGTGCATTGGATTGGGGCCTAGGACGCAAGGAATAAGGCTTAGGTCTCAGGTCTAGGGCTCATGCCTCCTGATGTGACACGAAGTCCTCCCTACCCTCGTTGCTATTGAAAGACTATTTCTTTTGTAGTGCTCGTGGTGTTGCTTTTGAGCGATTACGTCATCTGATATTGTGTTTGACCAACATGTTTAGGAAGAACCCATGCTTTGTCGAGTGTGGCGGGGAACCGCTCGGGGTCAGGATGTCTGAGTCTTTGCGACTGTTTACACCAGAAACTTGCTGTGATGTGGGCTTTCTGGAAAATTTGTGCTGCTGGTTGCGATACAGGCGTCTTGGCTGTGCAAGGGCAAGGACTAGTGACTAGTCGTCAGTATGCTGGCCGCAGAACCCCCTCCAAGGCTATGACAAGGTCAGCAATCAAGCATGCGGCACACCCCAACCAGACCAGCATAGATATAACGGCGACAACAACGCCTACAAAACAGTCAGCCTCCTCAACTACCTCAAGGCGACGGAGAATCTCCCCAACGCTCTGCTTGGGATCGGGCATCCAGCTCGTTGGCCTTGGCCTGCGCAGTGGGTACTCAGGACTGTCTGAATCCTAGCCTCCAGCCTTTCTTGCAAGGATTACTCTTACATTACATACGATCATACAATTGAATGGTGCATTGATAGCTGAATAATATAATCTAGTCTAACGCAGTATAATATAATATAATCCAATAAAATATACTTTACCATACTATACCATAATACAAGCCCTGAACCCTGAACCCCGAAACATCCTAAGCCCTAGACTTCCCCAAACGCCAAGCCCCGCGACTCTCGATGGAAACCCCTCTGAGCCTGGCCTTCTTCAGGGGCTTCCGGTCCCAAGTGCCCGGGCCCTTCTTCAGGGCCTCTGCCACCTTCGGGATCGCCTCCTTGGGAATCTTCATCCAAGTAGTTTGGTGGGTTTTTGCGGTTCGGGTTGGGGCCGGTCAGGGTTTAATGCGTTAGGGTTCGGGGTAGAGGGTCTTGCGGTGGTGACTTCGCTGGGTGGGGACGAAACGCATTCAGAGGAGGATCACAGAGGATGGGAGCGGGCAGGTTTGCGGTTTCGGGAGGTGCCGAACTGAAAACCTTGTTGCGGTTTAGGACTTGAGGCATTGTGGCGGTGCTTTAGGATCTTGGATATGAAGTCGCAGACTTCTGGGATTGAGAATTTTTCGAAGCGTTGAGAGTCTTGGGTCTGTGTAGGCTCCAGCTGCATGAGGGAGATGCAAAGGCCCCCAGCCCGTGCAGCAAGGCCGGCCAGGCCACCCAGTAGTCTTCTGTGCACTTGCCCCTGGACCCGCAGAAGCGCTGGATCTGGCCGAGTAGGTCGCTGGTGGCCTTGGCTTGGGATTGGGGACCCCGAGGCCCCAGGCCACCACCCTGAGAACCCCAAACCCTCTGCGAACCTCAAATTCTCTGCCGAGGCCCTGGCGATGGCCTTGCCGGCCTTGGCATCGGAGAAAGAGGTGAGGACCTCATCTGCGCCTCCACCGCCGCCTCGCACGAAGGGATCGCTCAAAGATCTGAAGGTCAAGCATCCGTTTACAGTCTGGATCTCTGCAGGGCATGGGGTTTCCGACCCTCTAGCATCCCGCCTCCGGCACCACCGTAAAGAGCCTTTCGCACCAGATCGTCCAGGATGGGGATTGGAATCTGGTGATAGCGGCAGTAGCCTCGGGTGCGTCTGGCTCAACAAACCCTTGGATAAGTCTCAGACTTCGTCAAGCAACCGATCGCCGCGGCAATCGTCAGAAAGAAGATGTTCCCAATCTGCAACAGGTGTCGTCATCATCATCGACTCCGCCGGGCGTGATCAAACGTATTATTGACCGGCATAAGGAGTTTGTTTCCTTTTTCGGGACTTGTGCATTATGTGCGACGAACACACCTACCGGCTGGCAGATAAGCAGACAGGCAAAGAGTGACCGAAGGACAAGCATCCGAACATGCAACATCCATTTATCAATCCGTCCACACCCACTCACCCAGACCGTCGCCCCATCCATGTCCATGTGCATAATTGCATATGTGCGTGCATGCACATGTATGTATGTATGTATGCATGCATGCATGCATGCATGCATGCATGCAAGCACGCATGCATGCAAGCACACATGCACGCACGCATGCACGCATGCATGTATGCATGGATGTATGCATGGATGCATGTATGTATGATGTATGTATGTATGTATGTATGTATGTACGTACGTACGTACGTACGTATGTATGTACGTACGTACGTACGTATGTAGGTATGTAGGTATGTAGGTATGTAGGTATGTAGGTATGTAGGTAGGTATGTATGTATGTATGTATGTATGTAGGTGTACGTGTGTAGGTGTACGTGTGTACATGAACATAAATATGTGCACGTGCATGTATATGCAGCTGTATATGTGTATGTAGGCATGTAGGACACAAATATACAAAAAATGTGTGCGTGTGTATATGTATATATATATATATAAGGCTCAGCAGCAGGGTGCCCCTGTTCTGGGTTTGGTGTGTTTTCTCGGTGTCTTTCGGTGTTCGGGCTTCGGTCGGTGCTTTTGGGCTGGGGTTCCGCGCCTCTCCTTCCGGGAGGGCTGTGCTTGTGCCATGGCTCTGCATACCTTCACGGACCCCTTCACCAGCACCAGCAGCTCCAATAAGATGCCGGTGGCCCAAGGCCACTATCGTCTGAGATCTCGGTACGACGTACTTTGGCAAGGGCAACTCATAGCCAGGACCGGTCGATGTATCAGTCGCGCAGTTGTCTGCAGCCTACTAGTGCTTTGCTTCAGGCAGGACCTCAGCTTGCCTCCGCTCCCCTCAGGTTTGCATCCGGCAACACCTGGTCTGGCCAGCCACACTGGTCTGTGCCGACCCAGAAAGCCTCTCTGCAACCGCCAATCAGGTCTGTCTGCAACTCAGGTGTTTTCCCCTGTCGACACAATGCATGCCAGGATCAAGCTCCAATCGCTGGCTAAAAGCCAGATCCAGCTGCAATCTCGGTTGGATGCCATGACTGTGCCTGCCCGCTGGCTCTCGACCTCCACATTTTCAGCCACTGGCAACCCCTATGCATATCCTGACAGGCGGCCTTCCTGTCGCCCGGTTTTAACTACACGGTTCGCCCATCACTCCTTGTGCGCAGGCCGTATGGAACTGTGGCGGCCTTGGAGACCATGGACTAGCCGGCTGCTGCCGACCACCTTAGGGCATCAGGACCTGGTAAAAGTCTGTACTGCCTTCTCTCTGTGCTCTTCCGGCAGGCCTTTAGCAGGTACCGCGCATTTGCCTGAGAGCTTCTCTGTCTCAGCAGCACTGGCTCTTCTGTATGCACACTGTACCGTAGACTGCGGACTCCATCTATCCGCCTCCACACCTTGCCGGCACCTCAGCCGTGACCACCATGTGCCCACGCACGCAGTTGCTTGGCCCTCGCCTGGAGCTCGACCAATTCTGCAGTTACCACGGCCTTACCGCATCTAAGGGCCTGTGCCCGGTCTCAGGCCCTCACTGCAGCCACGGCTGCACAGCCCCTGCCTTGGTCAGGCCCTCGGCCGTTCCGTCCACTGAGCGTGCATGCTTGTGTCCTCCAAGCCCCTCCTGCACTCATTTCTGTGCCATCCAGCCGCTGCTGTGAGCTCAAGGAAACCCTGCTTTGCACACGGTGCTCTTGCTCACCTGGCAGCCCCACATGGCTCCCCGGAAACGGCCGGCAGCTTCCACCATTAGCCGCTCCAAAGCAAAGGCGAAAACAGGGCCAGGACAGTCGTCTTTATCGTCAGGCTCTTCTTCCTCCGACGTCCCGCCTCCAGCAGCTCCAGCCCCAGATGACTTTCAGGATGCCGACAGTGCTGAGCTCGCGGATCTCTCAGCTCGCTTCTGGGAGGACTCCTCAGACGAGGCAGCTAGCGCTGCTGCTCCTCGCGCTTCGACGGGGACAGGCCTATCTTCTGGAGCACGCAATGGTCCTCCGCCGCCTCTGCCTGTCAATCGTCCTGGCACCGGAACTGCCACAGCAGCCCCTGAGGCAGAGGAAGCGGCCGCTGCTTCTTTCATGGTGGAGGGACGCAGCCTGCCACCGCCTCCGGGCTGGGATTCGATTACCAGAGCTGACTTCCGGGTCCTCGCCGCCATACCAATCGGTATCCTCATGCGATACGCTGCAGCGCATCTCTTTAACAGTACAGCTGCTGCTGCGCGCCGAGCTTAGGGTCCCCAAAAGGTGCCAGAGCCAATACCTGTGCTCCTTGGTCCCTTTGGCCTCCAGGCCTCGCCTGTGGATGTGGATGTCTGCTATCGGCCCTGAAGCGCGGAAAAATGGCCGCACCACCCTCCGCAACAAGGCTTCCTCTCCGCTTCTCTGCCCCGCCTTTGCCCAGCCTATCCTCCATCAGGTTCTCTTCGTCATGTGCAAGTGGCCACAGGCCGGCTATGCTTGGACACACCCTGCAGGCTGCGATCGCACTTTCTTCCTTATGGTGAACGCGACCACCTGCCTGGCTGGTGTCCGGACCTCGATGGCACTGCCGCTGCATGCGATTGCTGCCTTGCACTGTTCCACATCTGCACGTCGCTCCATCTGGCACGCCGGCTCAGACTTTTGGGGTGCTCTTCTTGGGACTGGTAGGCCTGAGGTTTTTGGTCTCGCGAGAATGGGCCTTTTGCAGCGGAGCCTGAGGCAACGAACTCGGCCCGGACAACTCAGCCGTGTACCTGCGGAGGCGGCCTCCAGGGGCACGGGGACGGACCTACATCCTGCCGACCGCGAATACCTTGAGAGGACCCATCCGGAAGTTTTTCAGCCACCACCGGCCCGCTGGAGGCTTGCTTCTTCTGAGATCAAGCTCGCGGGTTACATCAAATGGGACGGGGAGCCGCCTCCCCTCACGGTGTACATCCGACCGTTCCTCGATCAGGCGCGAGCTGGCTCCAAGATCAAGGCCAAAGACCGAGTGGGCCAGGTCCTTCAGGGGGCTGCACAGGACGACATCGGGGAGACCGAAGAGGTGCTTATCGAGGATGGGGACCCGCCTGTCTCCGGATCGGCCTCGTCCGTGCCATCGGAGCCCAGAGAGCCCAGACTTGCTCCCACACCGAAGGTGCTTCCCCTCAGGTCCCAAACTGGCAAGCCCGTCAAGGCCAAATCCATGCCGAAGGACAAAGGCCCATCCATGCGGGTCATGGCCTATCCGGGCCCCGGCTTGCGGACTACCTATCTCCGCGAGTCCGACTTGGCAGAGGGCACAGTGGTGGCTGTTACCGCCGACACCATCCAGGTGCACTTAAAGGACGGCTCTTATGGAGAGCTTACCGTGCCGGGCTCCTTCCACCAGTCCTTTCGCAGCGGTGACGTGGTCAAGCAGATGGAAGTGGTCGGTCTGGAGCCCGAGCTGCCCGTCCTCTTGGCGTTGTCGCGCCCGGCACTTGCAGTGGATGGCGTGGACATTGACCTGACTGCCACTGCTCGACCAGACGGTCACAGGCCCCCTTCTCCTCGGCATCGGCCAACCAAGTCCTATGTCAAGGACAAAAAGGAGCACAGGCGGTCTCGAGCTTCTCGCTCCCGGCGTCGTCGCAGAAGCAGGTCCAGGCGAGGAGTTCGCGAAGCATCGACCCCCCGTTCGCCAGGACCACCGAGGACACCTGAGCCAAAAGCTGGCAACACCCCGGGCACCTCGAGCACTTCGCCACCAGGATCGCTGATCTCGAGCCTTCTGTTCCCGGGCCACCAGAGCTCTGCACAGGCCGACGGCCCGGACCTAGAGGACGAGCGCTCTCCGTCGATCCACTTGTCATACATGCTGCGCTGCACTTGTGAGTCTCCTTGTTCATTGCGACTTTGGGTTGCATCGCATTCCCCCACATCTCGCATGTGCTTTGGCAAATGCCTTAGGGTGGCTCGACTCAAACATAGCCTGCTCAGGTCACATCGTTG